AAAACAATGTATCTGTTAATTTCCATGGAACAGAATTCATTTTTATTTCATATTTAGGGCCAAATTCTTTGGGTTTTCCGTTTGTATCTGTATTTTTTGACTGGCATTGAAGTTTTACTGAGTAACATAAAACGAAAATGTTATTTGTCGGATTTAAATAAGCTGCTTTGAATATTGCATGTGAACTATTTTATTTCAAGCGCTTTGAAGTATCGAAATCCATTAAATTCCACACATCCCAGATCCCTCAAAACAAAGTTCGCTTCATTTACGCCAAAAATAGCTCGCAAGCACGCCCTTTCGGCAACTCCAATAAATTAACTCAAAGCCATTAAAACACACGCAATTAAAATGAGATAAATAATGGAACAAAACTAAACTCCTGAAATCAGTTCAGTTCCCGAACAACAGCAGGATTACCCACTCGCCTACCGCACTAGAAGACAAATAGACAAACGGAATTAATTCAATTTCGAGGCTAGGATAACTACAAAACACCGCAAAACAAAAACATTAAATTTTTGAATGGGTTTCCAAACATTTAACAACATTTCGCAAGGATTTTCGGCGTCTTTTGAGATATTTTTTCACGTTCGCGTTGCTGAAGACACGGGATGATGTAGTAGTCAGAGTGGAAATGGCAGAATACAGACCGCGGTACAATGCATTCGCATATGCCCAAGTCGTTGTAAATGTTATTACGCCAAAGTGGAGAGCACAGAAAACGTCATACCTTGAGGCGGAAAACTTTACATCAAAGCTTCACGACAAGCATCCAGCCCAATATGGCCCACCGAAAGTCTTAATAAATGCGCCCACTGTAGTGTGCCAAACGATGTCAACAAATCCATTTAGCATTTTAGTGGGTTTTAGAAGCGATTTTAATTAACAGCACGCGATTATATTGCGTAAGAGTGCTTAGTGTCGCGGTACTTTTTGGCTTGACTGGGAGTTAAGATTTGTGAGTTGCGAGTTGCGAGTTGATAGCTTGGCGAAGTTTTCACATAACGACTTGGCGAGAAGGATGCTGTAGTTGCACTAAGGTTTGGCTTTGACGTTAATGTGAATTATTTTGTTAGCTTGCATTCTGTTGGCATGAGGTCAATTGGGAATATGCAACAAATAATCTTAATTTCTGCTCGTGTTTAGGAAAGAGATTAGCTTATCTTCACACTAAATGACACTTCATTCTCATTAAGTACAGAAGCAATTTGCATAACTCCAACAGAAAATAAAAAACACACTAGGCATTGAGCCAAAATCGGTGCCTAATGATTTCCTTAAAACTGATGGGAAACTTCGATCAACAAATTTAGTCATTTCCAGTACCCACATTTAATTATTTTCCAAGAAATGCAATAATTCAAACTCTTAAAACAAGTGTGTCAAGACATCGCTGGCATATAGACAGCATAAGTGCTTAAAGCCCATCCCAATTGAACCAATAAGCTACATGTACACAAATACGTCATTCTCTACAATAAAATCCAATTTTAAATTACGACATGGAAGATTCATGTATTTACTAAAATTTTCAACTAGAACTAATTTGCAAACAATTAAGTATTTCCTTACGATTCTGATTGCTCTATCTCTTAGAACAGCGTTGATAGATCATTTTCTGTCATAAAACGGAGTAAAATCTACCAGGAAACCCAATAATAAAATGAGTGCACATATTTCCTAAGTGTACTTAAATGAATGATATAATTCGATTCAATGGTTATTATTAGGTGGATTGATAAATACCCGGTCTACATAATAAAAGCACATTTGTTTTTGAAAAATTATATTTTATGCTTCAATATAGTCTCCTTTTACTTCGACACACCGCGTCCAACGATCTTTTAACATTTGGATACCGTATAAATAATACGATTTATCAAGTCCTCCAAAATATACTCTCAGTTTCCAATTCCACTTCATCATTTGATGCAAACCTCTTTTCCATCTTTTCAAGTTCGGAAACAGATTATAGTCACTGGACGACAAATCAAGACAATACGGTGGGTAAGGAAGCAATTCGTACCGTAATTCATTGGCTTGTGAGCGGGTGCGTTATCCTTATAAAATTTTTTTCTTCGACAAATATAGTCGTTTTTTCTTGATTTCTTTACTTAATCGATCCAATAATATGCAATAGTAGTCTGATCTTATTGTTTTTCTTTTAATAGTCCAAAGAGTCAATAAAAATTATTTGACTTATTTGACAAAACTCAAAACTTTTTCAGCCGATTGTTGAGTTTGTGGTCGTTTGTTAGCGCCACACCCGGGCTCTACCCAGTCACTGCCTTGTGGTTTTCCCTTCAGTGCGAAGTTATGTATTCATGTTTCATAAATTGTCGATGCTTACAGTCAGCTAGATTGTCAATTGTGAGCAAACGCGGCACCCATCTTGCCAAAAGCTTTTCATACCTCAATATTCTTAGACGAACCGGACGTTCTTGATCAAAAACACTCGTACGACCACGTTTAAATTCAGCTTTCCAATATTTTATTGTTGTTAACGATGGTGCAATGTTTTTGTAAACAGAATCTATTTTCAATTTGATTGCATCATTGTTCACTTTTTTCAAATGGAGGAAATTTTATCACTGAACGATATTCAATTTTTCCCATTTTATATAAAATCACCAAGGGGCATTATTTCAATTATTTGCAAAAAGCTAACCAAGCATCTGATGAAGTCGAAACTTTTACAGAAAACAAAATCTCGGAAGTTACTACAAAAACTTTTCGATATCTAACTATAAACCCCTAAGTAAAATTTTGGCGACAGGTCTTATATGGTCTATTAATCTTAAATTTTTATTTAAATTTAATTAAATAGGATTATATCTTCTCTATCTTAGGATAGAAAGGGCTTTATCATCCAAGAATTATTAACTAACCGATATGAAATCGATGTCATGTTACATCGATGTGTTTCTCAGAATTTTTTAAAACCATCTCAATCGTCTCATTGCATATGAGATATATCTAAAACAAAACAAAAATAAATAATAGGAAGAAGTTACTACATCTACTTCCAAAAACGTAATTATGCGTAGTAGTACAAGAAAAATTTGTCTCATATAGTTCTCTATTCTAATTCTCAATTAACACATTAATAGACTTTAAAAATGGAAGAGAAATTCTATGATCGAAAAACTGAGAAAAAGGATGAATCTTAAGAAAACTATTGATTTGCCTATTATCCTCTCCTAATGACTCCAACGTCTTTGGAAACTGCATCTTGCCATCTCAATTGAATTAACCCACAAATTCTGGAACAATGAGGAAACACATTAGGAATGAAAAGGTTAGAAGAGTTAGAAGAAAAAAGTTATTGCTGCAGAAATTAACTTTTTTTCAAGAAAGTGTTAGGATTCTTGAAAAATATGTATCTATGGTTATTGGTCGCTTACTCCATTAAGATAGTTGTCAATGTATTTTAGGTACAGACATGAATCTTCAGAAACAACGATGCGAGAGAGAGATGGGAGTGGACGAACTATTTGGATGTTTTTGTGTGTCGCGTTAGAAGTAATTTCTTAGTTAGCTTACCTACCTAAAGGTTGAGTTCATCCGTTTCAAATTAAAAATGTTTCATTTTCAGTTTATGCAATAGTTTACTCTGATCAATTTATTTAGTGAAAAATTCAATCGAAAATAATACTTTATTACCTTCAATTAATTGTGTTTCTACTTAAATTTTGACAACACATCTTCATTTATATAATAATTATTCTTCTTCATCTTCATCCTCAACGGTTGTTTTAAGTCCGCCAAATACCTTAGTTGGTATGGATTTTTGCTGGATACGCAATTTTTTCATTGCCATGCCGTTCACATCAACACTTGTGGCTTTTTCGCCAGCAATATTATCCGTTTCATTCTCATCGGCTTCTTCTTCTTCCTCTTCTCCTTCATCCTCATCGTCATCACTGTCATCAATATTTATTTCATCAGGATTAACAACCTTATCTTTAGCTGCGCCACCCTGTGTTTCACCACGCACGAACATAATATTGGACGCAGCCTGCGGTTTGATTGGTAGCTTGTCTTTCTGTGCAGCTGCTGCAGCCTCCAGTTTTCGCATTGCGTCCGCTTGAGCGACTTCATTCTCCGCAGTATTGCCGCTGTTAATAAATTGTGCCGCCATCATATTAACTTGCGTGTTATACGTGGCTTGAACGGAACGTTTAATACGCAACATTTCGCGCATTGTGTCTTCATTGCCATGCCGCACTTCAAACTCTTTCCATGTTTGCCAGAAATCAGCAGTTATGCGTGGATCACAAACCTATTCAAAAAATGGTATTAAGATACTTTTGCAGTCTTTAAATTCCAATTGGCTTACCTGTGAACAGTGCGCGTAGATTGCGCGTGCACGATCGATTTCTCCCAATTTAGTTTCCATTTCAGCAAAACGCACGCAAATATACCGCATATTTTCTTCGGGCAGAGATTCAATAGCTTTCTCGTATATCTCGCGCGTTCTAGGTAGACCATAAATCTCTGCTGCTTTCTTAATGAATATGTTGTACATATCATACATTTCCTCAGGCTTAACTGCAGCGGTGGCACGATCATACACCGCCATAGCATGTCGAGCCAAGCCATGTTCCTCCTCCAACTTCGCATAAAGTAAATAGAAATATTTTGCATGCTCCGGTGGACAGTTTTCCAAACACTGCTCGAAAAGATCACGTGCGCGTTCCAGTTTAGTGCCGCCATAACGTTTTAAAAATTTTGTCAAATAAGAGTTCCAAATATCAAAGACATTTGGCCACTTGAATAGAGCAATGCCTTTTTCATAAGCGCGAAATGCTTCCTCAAAGTAATTGTGCTCCTCAAGAAAGAGTCCGAAATTTATAATGATTTGTGGAGTACAAATTTTTAAATCGATTATCCGATCGTACACGGCTTTGCAGGTTTTGAAAGTCCCAAATGATTCTTCCAAATCTGCATACATCGACCAAACTTTTAGCGATTTGTAAAGACGCATTTGTACCGTCTCTGTGTCATCGTGATATGCCACCTTACGTTTTGGCATCGCCGTTGCCTTTTGCATTAACTTCAGTGCGTTTTCAAAATTTTCTTGTCTATATGAAAAAACATTTTAAGCATTGCTTTTATTTTTTTATTTTTTGTATATTTTCAAACCTTATTTCCATTTCTGCCCATTCACACCAGACAGACGCCAATTCATCCACTTTGATGTATTCAACTTCGGTGCCTTTTTCAAAAATGACGCGCGCATCGTCAATTTGATCATTGCCCTCGTAGAACTTGGCGAATTCGACCCACAATGTATGCAGTTTACCAACGGCCAATTTTGGTTGGACAGTCTGCACAGCTTCTGTGTAAGTGTTGATGATTTCCAACGGCTTGTCTTCGTACAACTTAACACGCTTGTGCCATTCGTGAACGTTGTGTGGATTCTGACGCAGCAACACGCTATTTAGTAACAACAAACGTCGTTCCATTAGATATTCAAAGCGTGCCAAGCGCAGTTCAACATCAATATCATCCTCCTCTGTAGAGGTTGGATCATTCGCAACAGTTTCCATACGTTTGCTTAATGAAACTTCCTCGAACTGTGCGTATTCATCGAATACTTGTGTGAAATCTCGTACTGTCTTAACCGTTTGTATGGCTTCTTCATATATATCACGTGCACGATCAAACAAACCGGAACGTACGTAGTAATCCGCCAAAGAGTTCCATAAATGACCCAATTGATCCGTATACCTAAAAGCGAATAACAATTAAATATATAAAACATTTGTATCACTCGTTATATACCTTCTCAAGCCACCTCTAATAATAGCATCCACATTCAGTGAATGCACTTTATGCGGATTCTTAGATATAAGCTCACACAACTCATTCCAAAGTTGATGATTTGATTTACCAAATTTTGAAGCAAAATTTTCATTATCTACAATCGTAGCTAACTGCTGAGCCGCATCATCTAATTTGCCCACTTCAGATAAATATTCAATATATTCCTCAGCTTCATCTGGGCATAATTTTAAGTATCGCCTATAAACTCGCACCGCAGTTTCGGGTATGTCAAACTGACGTACAAACTTCAGATACAGTGGCCAGATACGATGATGCTGCGTTATGGGTAGCGCACGTAAGGCGCGATCAAAAACGTATCTGGTACGTGTTATTCGACATTGCAAAGTCATAAAAGTACCATAATCCATCCAAATGCGTGGCATTTTATGCATAAAAACCAACGCACGTTCAAACGTATTATTGACTTCTTCATACATAGGGTCGTTCAATGGACGTCCACGTACCTGTTTCCTCCTAGTGCGCAAGTAATTGTACCAAATTTTGTAACTGCCAGGCAATTCCTTCAATGCACGTTCATACACTATATTAACACCATTGTTGGGTGCCTTAGCTTTGTGGTCAATATAACGCAACCAATGTTTTACGGAATAAGCATTACGCAGTATCTCTTCCTCATACGGCACATCCTCTTCTGGCTGCAATGCAAACACAAATTAATGCATTTATTCTGGAAAATTAAATTAGCGTACTTACGAAATCTATATCAATATTAAGTTTCGTTTTTATAGTTGGCATTTTTATACAAATCTATGTAATATATGTATTATTTATGTATTAAAATAATTAAATATCAACCAGGAAAATTAATCAAATAATTGTGGCCGCAATTCTTCTGAACAGCTGGTTTATAATAGTTAGCGGCATGACGGTAGCACAGTTTGGTTAAACAGTTTTAAAGGCACTAACCTCATAACAACACCAAAGTAGTGCTGTAAATGATTTATTTTGCAAAACTTAATTTGTTTATAATTAAAATATTATATGAAATTTTTAGATTTAAAAATTAAAAATTCAAAAACTCACACATCAAAAGTAACAATGCATTTGTTTTTTCTGCGTTCAGTTCAGGTAATATAAAATATACATTCATCGTGTATAAATAGTACACGATGGAAATCAGTTTATGTTTAATAAGTTATGTTAAGAAAATTAAGTTAACAATATTATACGAAAAACATAGAAAAATGTTTTGTCTATGTCTATGTTTTTGGTTATAACTGCGTTAAATCGACACGAAAAAGAATTGGACTTAACTACTGAAATGGAGTCTGATACTTCACATTTTATTTATATATATATTCAGTCCTTTAACTCCTAGAAGGAGCATAGTTCCGCTATTATTTATTGCGGTTTCGTTAATCAGTTGATTTAAGATTGGCGGGTGATTGCTATAAATTCAAAACAAACAGCAACTAATGGCAGCACAGTGAACTCACAATAACTACAACAAAAATGGCGAACAAAAGCCTTTTAAAAAATTTAATTTATTTATGTGATAATAATTCAACAGATTTGTTTTGTTGTTAACAATATCCGACTATTTATTAAAATTTATGTTATAGTCAAATAGTTTAAAAAGTTCTATTAAATAAATAAAATATTCGATATTACTTAACACTCGCACAAAAATTTAAATTGAGTTCTTCATTTGCATTAACTTCTAATCTGTCAGATTATGAAGAAAATCCGGCAAAGTATTTTGATTATGATCAGACATATTAATGTGGGATTCCATTTACACTCACTAGTCCCATGCATGGAGAATGCATAATTGCAAGGCATCGCGCCCTCATCGGATTGACAAGAACAAACTTTCACATCTAAGCCTGTAAATGTTCTGATATCAACGCATTCCGTACTTTCATAAATCTCTTCTCGGATATCTCTACGATTACAGCCGTATCCTATTATTCCAACTGTAGCATAAAATAAAATAGTTAGTATGAGAAATAAATTAGATACATTGCTTATAAATATATTTTCATAATTTTTTGAAAAAACACTTTTTTTCTGTTGATAAATGTTAGGACGAGACAAGCGTTCTCAGTCGGCAGATCACAATACCCAAAGTCGGAAATAAAAAGGTAAAACAAAGAGGTGGAAAAGTGAAGACAAGAGGACAAACAAAGATTAGTTTCCCTAATAAGTCTGAAGAGATCAGGTAAGAGGAGAGCATGGACATTATGTACACATCATAATCCAACAGTCGTGGTGTGGTTCTTTCAAATGCTAAGAAATAACATAAAATATACTCCAAGTAGTCCGAATCTTTAAGACTGCACTGTTATATCGGTTCTGTGATAATTCAAATCGTAGCCATGTATTGTCAACTAGTTTTGTGTCACTTGATTTCACCGATCCGTACCTTGGAGTCCTTTCTCTTTCGTTGTGAGAAAAATTTTGATAATTTCCTGTTATGTTCTTACAAATAATATTACGTTCACTTTACAAGATTACATTTTGCTTCATTTCTCTTGTAAACGAGCTCAGAAACTCATTGACCC